CCGGCTCCTGCTGTTGCCAAGTCTATTTTGTCTACTTTAGGGTTTAAATTTTCTGATCACTTACATTGTGAGTCCTGTCATGTGTCTAAGTCTTGTCGTTTATCCTTTGAACTCTCTGAACATAAGGCCACAGCGCCTTTTCAACTAATTCATTCTGATGTTTGGGGACCAACCTCTGTTCCATCTATCTCTGGTTTTCGTTTCTATATCTGCTTTGTTGATGATTTTAGTAAATTTACTTGGATTTATCCTCTTAAACACAAATCTGAAGCTTACTCTGTTTTCACTAGTTTTGAAAAAATGGTTAAAACTCAATTTAATTCAAATATTCAGATTTTTAGAAGTGATAATGGGAAAGAATTTGTAAATACAGCCTTTGGCATTTTTCTTCAAAATCTTGGGATTCTGCATCACACGTCCTGCCCTTACACTCCTGAACAGAATGGTGTGGCTGAACGCAAGCATCGGCATCTCATTGAGACTGTCATTGCTTTACTCTACGATTCCCACCTTCCTGTCTCCTTTTGGGTTGAAGCACTTGCTACCGCCAACTACCTTATAAATCGCCTACCCACATCCACCCTAAATAACCAATGCCCCTTTGAAGCCCTCTATGGTCGGTCTCCGGATTATGTTCACCTTCGTCCTTTTGGTTGTCTTGTGTATCCCTGGCTTCGTCCTCACACACATCACAAGCTTCAACCACGTTCCACCCCCTACATTTTCCTAGGTTATCATCCCACCATGAAAGGTTACAAGTGTTATGATCCTATTTCTCAGAAAACGTATGTCTCCCGTCATGTTCGTTTTGTAGAAGATCAGTTTCCCTACTCTAAACTTCTATCTACCCCAGCCTCCTCTAACCCCTTAGGCATCATTCCCATCTTTCCTCCCAGACCAGGCTCACAGGGTCCGGCACCGCACAGTTATCAAATCGTTCCGTCTGCTACTGCTCCGCAAACGGTTGACCGTTCCCCTCATACATCTACCCACGGTCGACCGTCTCCTCACACCCGTTCTGAACCTCTACAGACGGTCGATACCATTACCCGTCCACCCCCACACGGTCGACCGTCGACAGCACTGATCCCCACAACAAATGCCCATCCCATGCAAACCCGTGCCAAATCAGGCATTTTCAAGCCTAAAACCTATACTGCTACCACCACTGATACCTCTCCTCCTACCTCTGAACCTCACACCTATCACCAAGCCTCCAAGAATAGCTATTGGTGCCATGCCATGGATGAAGAATTTGCAGCTCTGAATGGACAGCGCACATGGGATTTGGTGCCCCTACCCAAGGGCCGAGATCTTATTGGTTGCAAGTGGGTGTATCGCATAAAACGGAATCCGGATGGCTCCGTCTCTCGGTACAAGTCTCGTCTAGTGGCCAAAGGGTACCATCAAGAGTATGGCATCGATTATAAAGAGACGTTCAGCCCGGTTGTCAAGCAGCAAACCATTCGTCTGGTACTCACCCTTGCTCTACACTATGATTGGCCTCTTCATCAGCTTGATGTTACCAATGCCTTTCTCCATGGTACACTCGATGAGGATATTTATATGTCTCAACCACCGGGCTATGTCAATCCCAATAGGCCTGAGTTTGTTTGCAAGCTGCGCAAATCTCTGTATGGCCTTAAACAGGCTCCTCGTGCTTGGTACACCTGTTTTGCTACTTTTTTGCAGGGACTTGGCTTCCAGTGCTGTCGTCATGACACTAGTCTGTTCACTTTTCACAGCTCCCGCGGCATGGTCATTGTTCTCCTGTATGTTGATGACATCATTATTACAGGGAGCTCCTCTGATCTCATCTGTGTTGTTACTCAGGCTATGCATAAAAATTTTCGCCTCAAAGACTTGGGCCCTCTGGATTTCTTTCTTGGCATTGAGGTTCGTCGCTCTGCGGATTCTATCTTGCTTCATCAGACAAAATACATATTTGATCTTCTTCAGCGGGCTGGCATGACTGATTGCAAACCCACTGTCACTCCTATGGCGGCGCGGCCAACCCAGGAGATCTCGTCCACCTTCTCCGACCCAAAATTGTTCCGTAGCCTTGTGGGTGGTCTACACTATCTTGCGGTGACTCGCCCTGATATTCAGTATGCTGTAAATCGAGTTTCTCAGACCATGCATAATCCTACAGAGAAGGATTACTTGGCCCTTAAACGTATTCTTCGCTACTTGAAGGGTACTTCTTCTCATGGCCTTCTGTTCAGAAAAGGCTCTCTTGATCTTGCTGTTTATTCTGACTCTGACTGGGCTAACGACAAAGATGATCGTCGTTCCACCACTGGGTATCTCCTTATGCTGGGGCCGAATCTTATCTCATGGTGCACAAAAAAAACAGACTCGCGTCTCGCGCTCCTCCACCGAAGCTGAGTATCGCGCTATGGCCGCGGGGGTGGCAGAGGCGATGTGGCTTTGTTATATTATGGATGCTCTGCATGTTCCGCCTACGAAACCTAAGATTTATTGTGATAATGAGTCCACACTCTGTGTCACCAGGAATCCTGTTCTCCATGATCGCATGAAGCATGTTGGCTCTGTCACTTTGTTCGAGACGAGGTTATGGCTGGCACTATGACTACACATCATGTTCCTTCTTCTGAGCAGCTTGCTGACATCTTGACAAAACCGCTTCCGCCGACTCCGTTCCATTATTTGTGTTCCAAGCTGCCCCTCGTATCCGTTGATCAGCTTGCGGGGGATAATAGGAAGACTCCTAATATTACTTAGTTTCCTTATTCTTGTATTACCATAATTATTTTATTCCTTTCCTACTAGGAATAGGACTCTCTCTTGTAATTCCTATATATAGGGACATATCTCTCAATATTCAATAAGACAAATTATTATCAAATTGTATCAGTTTGGTTGGAAGGACCTTTCTATCATTTCCCCTCATTTCACCCGAGTAGAGCGGACACGCCTCAGGCGAATCTGTGTTAGATCTAGGAGGGTATTCTTAGGGGTGTTCATGTTTAGGTCTGGACCGAAAAAACCGACCGAACCGGACTGTTAAGTTCAGAACAAACCCGGACCGAAATGATATCGAGTCGGTCTTCGGTCCAGATTTTTTCTGATTTCGAGTTTCGATCCGGTCCGGTCCATACCAAATGAATAGTCGGTCCAGACAGACGGACTATTCATTTTCTCCCATCTGAATGTCCATTTTCTTGGCCCTATCATTTTCTTGGCCCTATTCATTTGTAAAGTTAGGCAACCCTATCATTTTTCTTGGCCCTCTGAATGTCCATTTTCTCCCATCTTCTTGTTAGACCTCAATACCGTATTCTCATAAATTCCAATCTTTTTATGCCCTTTTCCATAAATTCATCCACAGGTGCTGCCCTGCTTTTGCCATGCTTTATCCTCATTTCTCAACGTGGAGTTTCTAAACCAGGAGTTCAAACGGTCCAAGAGGAGGGAGCAGATATCCTTCAAAATCTGAGATTTCATTTTTCCTAGGTCCGTATGGAAATTTACGCGGCGACCGTCTCTGCCCACCATTTCTCCGTCTCTTTTAGGCGTCCACTGACAAAAGCCCATCTCTCAGGCAACTCTAGAAGGCCATACCCATTTATCACTTTTCCATCCTCAGACTCTTTCACGGTAAGTCATCCTGAAATTGTACCAGTTCTGCAATTGATTCTGCAATCTTTTTTCCCCATAATTTTCTTTGTAATTACTGTTTACCTATCTGCTTAGAGAGACGCATGGAGGGTGATAAATTTCAAGAACCAGGTGAATTTTAGGAGGAGGACTGTTATTAGGGCGGAAATGTTTGGCCAGCTCACTACCGGACTTGAAGCTGCTTGGAATAAGCTCAAAGGAGAAGGTCTTTTCTTTTCTTTCTTGTTTTTCTTACTTTCTTGATTTAGGATTTCGTTTTGATTAAGAGTGATTTTAGAGGGTTAGAGTAAAAAGGATTAACGAAAAAAAGAGAGTTAGGTGACTATGTAACACCCAGCCCTATTGGCGAGAAGTTACTACTCATAAGATTGTAGAATGATTCTAGACTGATCCCACAAACCAACACGAGTCTTTTCCTCGCACTTTGGCCTCACTTATGGGTAGGGGCGGAACCAGAAAATTCATAGAGTGGGGGCGAAAAAAGAAATAAAAATAAAACTAAATAAAATGATAAATATTTTTAATATTAAAATTCATAACCTAACAAATCATATTACCTCAAGTCTACAAAATCATTCTTCTAGCCTTCATTGCTTGAAAATATTGTAGGATGTCTTCATCTTCCACACGATCAAAAGTTTCATACTCTATATAAGTTAGCATACAAGCATTAAACCACTCATCACCAATTTTGTTGCGTAACTTATCTTTGACCAAGTTCATTGATGAAAATGCACGTTCCACACTTGCCGTTGCAACCGGTAAAAGTAAAGCTAACTTCACCAACAAATACACGATCAGATAAACAATGTCTTTCTTCTTCTCAACCATTTTTTGGACGAGTTCTCCTATTCCTTTCAAATTAGCAAATCCTTCATCATCTTTTACATCAAGAATAAAAGTCTTCAAAGAGGAGGAAAGGAAAGAAAGATCACAAGACTCATCAAAATCCATAGGATAATATGTAGCAAATTCAACCAACTTTTTGGTGTCAAATTTGTAGAATGAATCTCGTGGATCAAGACAACTCAAACACTCGATCAACTTTGTGTTCACGTTGTCAAAGCGATCATTCATCTCAAAATGCTGTTGGTCGATCACTTTATCAAAGTACATGAACTTGAAGAACTCCCAAAACTTGAGTGTTGATGCATTTCTCCTTGATCTTCCCTTGGGACAATAAAAATCACCCATGTTTGGAATATCAACATCATGTTTCTTGCAAAACTCAGTTATTAAATCAAGCAACATATCAAATTTAACACTTTTCAAATTCTGCATTCGAACTTTTGCAACTCTCACTAAAGCAATTGCATTGGCTAGGTCTTGATCCTTTCGTTGCAAGGACTGTGATAGTTCGTAAGTAATGCTTAAGACCATCTCCATCAAATGCAAAATGAATACAAATTCAAAATCTTCAATAGCAAAAAAATAGCACTTGCCTCCGTCCTTACCGAATCATTCTTAGGATCATTTTGAATTATATTCATCAATGAAACAATAGGAGAGAACAATGAAATTACACTCACAATTGTTGAGTAATGAGACCCCCATCGCGTATCCCCGGGCCTTCTCAAACTTGATTCTTGATTAGAACCTCTTCCATGCACATCACCACAAGCAATTCTTTCAAGAATCATTTCATATTGCTTTTCACGAATAATATCTCGTCGCTTACATGAACCATTAACAACATTAACATTGGCCATCTTTTGAAGAATATCAAAAAATTCTTGAATCTTTCTATCACTCTTAGCCGCCTTTACAAGCGCTAATTGTAGTTGATGAGCAAAACAATGGATGTAATAAGCTGATTTATTTTCAGCTAAAATCAAACTTTCTAAACTATTGAACTCACCTCTCATGTTACTAGCTCCATCATAACCTTGACCACGACACTTAGATAAACTAGGTCCCATTTTAGCAAGAAGCCCATCAATTGCTAATTTTAACCAAAAATAAAAGAATTTTGAATAACTCTATGAATTTTGAAATTTCCAAAATATGGTTGGTGTTCTTTTTTTTTGGGTTTTTTTAATGTTTATATTAAATCCCTTATGAATGAGAATTGATTCATACTAATTTTCTTCAATTATTGAGCAAGTTGTTGAATTGGTTGATTTGATTTCATAAGTAGGTTGATACGTGGAATTCGGTTTTTGTTGAAGCTATTTTAGCTCCATAAGGTAGTTAAATGAACTCCGAATTCATACGTGATTCTTTGTTGTGATTGCGTTCGTTGATTTTAAAGAACCTTGACCATGGCACTTAATAATTAATAACTTTATGAATTTTCTGGCTCCGCCCCTGGATGAAGGTTGGAACACTGAGGAGCTTCCCATGTACTGCTCCGACCCACAGTCGTCTCTGGTGATTCCATTTACTTGCTTCCTGATTTTTCTGAATTTGAGTTTATTCACGGGGAAAGTAGCCAACAAGAATCAGCCCCTTGGGGTTACATCTATGACACAATTGAGCACAATGGTCACTTTGTGTATCTTCCACAAAATTACATGGACTGTGGGCTTAAGTACTGTTTGCCTCTGGGTGGTCATGGGGTTCGGGTTCCGATGTTTATGCTGGAGGGGGGCGGGATGGAATGGTTTGACCATAAGGGAACTGGATGGGAAAAATTGGATGTTGAGTGTGCTTCTTTATCAGAAAATCTTCCGAGTAGACGGTATGCAGTTTCGAGTGATACATTATATATTTATGACGTCTTATTAGGCTCTGAACCAGTGCTGCACGCGTTCAACATTAGCTCTTGGAGCTCTTTTGGAACCATTTACCTCCCAGAATTTGCTCACTTTGATGCCATTGATGATTCGGTTTTTATAGTTTTTGTAGCTGATATGTTTTAATTCCCTGGTTTTATAGCCAAACATATCTCCCCCATACCACAAAAAGCATAGCTCCAAATCAGCTACAGGAACTATAAAAACCGAATCATCAATGCTATCAAAGTGAGCAAATTCGGGGAGGTAAATGGTTCCAAGAGAGCTCCAAGAGCTAATGTTGAACGCGTGCAGCACTGGTTCGGAGCCTTCGGAGCCTAATAAGACGTCATAAATATATAATGTATCACTCGAAACTGCATACCGTCTACTCAGAAGATTTTCTGATAAAGAAGCACACTCAACATTCAATTTTTCCCATCCAGTTCCCTTATGGTCAAACCATTCCATCCCGCCCCCCTCCAGCATAAACATCGGAACCCAAACCCCATGACCACCCAGAGGCAAACAGTACTTAAGCCCACAGTCCATGTAATTTTGTGGAAGATACACAAAGCGACCATTGTGCTCAATTGCGTCATAGATGTATCCCCAGGGGCTGATTCTTGTTGGCTACTTTCCCCGTGAATAAACTCAAATTCAGAAAAATCAGGAAGCAAGTAAATGGAATCACGAGAGACGACTGTTGCTGGGTCGGAGCAGTACATGGGAAGCTCCTCAGTCTTCCAACCTTCACTACAAGAAAACTGTCGATCTGCCACGGACATTTTCTGTTGCAAAATTTGAAATTCCGTGGCAGATTTAGAATCTGCGACGGACCTGCAACAAAATTATTCCGTTGCAGAAAACTTGTGGCAGATTTAAAATCTGCGACGGAACTGAAAATCCGTGGCAGATCTGCAACGGATTCGTCTATTTTTGCAACCCAAAAAATCTGCGACAGAAGTCTACACACCGTTGCAGATCTGCGACGAAAGCAGCAACGTACTACTCCGTCGCAGACCGCCTGATCGCAGCTACTAGTTTTTGCTGTTTTTTGGCAGTAGCTATTAAAATTGGGGGCAAAACACATTCAATTTTCACACATAATTCTAAACAAGATATTAATACGAAATACATAATTCAAAACTAGATTAATGAAAACTTCACGTGCAAATGTAACATAATTCATAATATTGTAAAAACACTAAATATTAAAGTGTTAGGGGCTGTTTGTTTCAGCCTCTTAATGGTTTAGATATCTGAATGGTTCAGCACTTAATGGTTCAGACTGTTTGTTTCAGCCTCTTAATGGTTCAGATGTCTGAATGGTTAAGAGATTTGCCTCTGAATGGTTAAATATTATACAGAGTCTGAATGGTTAAGACCTCTTATCTGAATTGATCAGACATTTGCCTCTGAATAGTTAAGCAATATACTAGCTCTTAATGGTTCAGACCTCTTACTGGTTCAGCACTTAATAGTTCAGACCTCTTACTGGTTCAGCACTTACCGATTCAGAAGTTGCCAAACAGCCCCTTAGTGTCAAATGTCAAAGGTGTCAACAAATCCCGAGCTGCCCTGCACCTCCCGGTCCATCATCATTGCCTCGTGTAGGAAGGTTACCACCGAACACAAGTAATCGAAAGCTCTCTCAAGATTGTTATATGCAGCACGCAAAGCACACATGACTGCCTCCCGGTCCCAATTGCCCCCGCCAATTTTTAGAATTTCTGGAATTGTGGACTCTAAGGTACTTCCTGCTACAAGGTTCGATACTGCCTGATCATAGACATCTGGCTCAGAACTGAGCAAAAATAAAAACAAAAACAAAAACAAAAATTTCTTAAAAGGTAATAGATAAAAAACCAAATTGTGGTCTTGAAACATAAACTTTGGGTACATATTAAAATTTACTGTAAAACAAATGTAAGACAGTTTCTCACACAGAAGAAGCTGAATTTGGAAGAGTTGTGGCAGATTCGGGAGCAGACTGTGGGAGTGTGGGCTGCACATGAAATCAGAGCAAAATTCATATTCAAAGAAGAGTTGCACAACTAATCAAGATATAAAACGTGATTATATTATTGGGTTCATACATTGCCACAACAGAGGCAATTGGTGGAGGCGATGTCACTGTCTGTGTTGATTGTCTAGTGGAGGTTGGATGTTGAACCTTCACAGCAAAAAAACATTACCCATCAACAAGGCATTTGAACACCATTATGGAAGAGGCCAAGAGAGAAACACATAAAGCAATTGAAATAAAGAAGTGACTTCATTCTCACCGTATTTAAAGGTGTGGCTTGTGTTGAAGAGGCTTCACCTACTGAGGACTTGAGTTACGATGAGTGACACTGCAAATTGATTATTTTAGTCATACAAACTAATGCCAACATATCCTTAGAAAAGGTTGTCAAGTTCCCCCCCCCCCACCCACCCCCCCACACCCGAGTACCACTACTAACCATTATAAATTTATGAACCCGATAAAAGCTCGAAAAGGAACACCAGATAGTGGAGTTAAAAACTAATCTGCATTAGACCTCTTGCACTGTGAACAGTGCTCGAATTCCCAAATTGGCCAAAAATCAAAATTCTTTGTTTGGAAAGATCACAAAACTTTAGAATGTGATTAGGCAAAGAAAATCACTCAAAATACCTCAAAATTGGCTTTAAATTTGAACGGGAAGCATTCATGAAAAAGGCATCTTACACTGACCAACAGTCTTGCTGTTCTCCAAAACTTTCCCAGAACTGATCAGTTTTAGTTCACTTGGTTCCTTAGGCACAATATTTTTACCTGAAGTTAAACAAAACAAAAAAAACACATTTGATTCATTAAACCAAGAATATTAACCACATTCATTACCGACAAACCATAGCAACAATACGACAATTTTATTAAACCACAAACAACAATCATTTAACTACATATATCACAAAATTCAACTAAATTTTACTTAAATTCTCAATAAACGTCAAATTAACTAACACAATTTAAACAAAAATTACACCTTAAATACTATCAATTTCACAAAAAAGTAGTGCAATTTTTACCCAATTTCATATCAATTTAAACTCATATTCACCCAATTTGAACTAAATTTCACCACAAATGCACTAAATTTCACACAAACAAATTCAATTTCACAAAAAATTACAATAATAATAAACTGTATAAAATTTAAAAAAAATACCTTGAGAAGAAGAGGAGGTCCGGTGGGGGAAGATGGCAGTCGAGACACTCGTAGCGGCGAGGGGTGGAGACCCTGGCGGCGGCGGCGAGGAGGGAGGGAGACACTGGAGGCGAGGGGTGGAGACACTGGCGGTCGAAGGCGCGAGGCTTGGAGGGAGAAACTCGCGGCGCGGTCGATGGCGAGGCGAGGAGAACTATCGCCGCGGCCTCAAGCATGCGGCGGCGGCGGGCGGTCAAGGAAAGCCGCGGAGGAGATGCGTCGGTCGAAGTTGGGTGGAAGAAAGATGTCTGGGCTCGGATCTGTGAACTGATTTCGTATGTAGATTGAAAAGAGGATAACCCTATGTTATTTAATTATCTGCGACGGGAATACATCAGTTGCAGACTCCGTTGCAGATCTGCTACGGAAAGTGTATTTCCGTCGCAGATAATGTTCCTTTTCCAGAAATTATTTTTCCGTTGCAGATTCGTTGCAGATCTACTACGGATATATGTCCGTAGCAGATTTCTGTTAGATAAATTCTTGTAGTGCTTCATTCTGGGGCGGAGTCAGAAAATTCATTGAGTTATTAATTATTAAGTGCCGTGGTCAAGGTTCTTTAAAATCAACGAACGCAATCACAACAAAAAATCACGTATGAATTCGGAGTTCATTTAACTACCTTATGGAGCTAAAATAGCTTCAACAAAACCGAATTCCACATATCAATCTACTTATGAAATCAAATTATACAATTCAACAACTTGCTCAATAATTGAAGAAAATTAGTATGAATCAATTCTTATTCATAAGGGATTTAATATAAACATTAAAAAAAACCCAAAAAAAAGAACACCAACCATATTTTGGAAATTTCAAAATTCATAGAGTTATTCAAAATTCTTTTATTTTTGGTTAAAATTAGCAATTGATGGGCTTCTTGCTAAAATGGGACCTAGTTTATCTAAGTGTCGTGGTCAAGGTTATGATGGAGCTAGTAACATGAGAGGTGAGTTCAATAGTTTAGAAAGTTTGATTTTAGCTGAAAATAAATCAGCTTATTACATCCATTGTTTTGCTCATCAACTACAATTAGCGCTTGTAAAGGCGGCTAAGAGTGATAGAAAGATTCAAGAATTTTTTGATATTCTTCAAAAGATGGCCAATGTTAATGTTGTTAATGGTTCATGTAAGCGACGAGATATTATTCGTGAAAAGCAATATGAAATGATTCTTGAAAGAATTGCTTGTGGTGATGTGCATGGAAGAGGTTCTAATCAAGAATCAAGTTTGAGAAGGCCCGGGGATACGCGATGGGGGTCTCATTACTCAACAATTGTGAGTGTAATTTCTCCCCTGCCCCCACCCCACCAGCCAAGTTCGAGGATACACCAATGTGTATAGTGTATATTCATCTCACTATCCACTACTTAAGGGCGTGCTATACTTGAACTCACCCTCTTTAGGTTTTACACATGAAAGCATCATGGTAATAAACGCAAGTGCATGGAAGAGCATTACCCCAAAAACAAGCTATTAATAAGTATGGAGAACCAAGGCCTTGTAAAACCTTTCCAAAGAGGAAGACTGGGCATCATTAACTGGTCTAGCTTCCTTTTGCTCCTCAGGAGTTAGGATGTTATGTGTGTCCATCAAAACTTCCTAATGACATGTACATGTACAGGGTTTGTTTGTTTTTATTATGTTCTATTTATATTCAAATTGCAGGTTTTCCTGTGGTATAACCTGATGCTGCGATCCCTGATAGTTTTATGGAACCTTGTGAATGTCTTGTCCAAACTGACCCTGTCAATATATTTATGGGGTTATACATTTTGTGGTTTTTTTCACATTTCCAACATGAAAACCATGTGTTTCAGAGGCGTTGACTAAGGAAAATATTGCCGAACCCATGAAAGACATCAGGAGGGCTCTTTTGGAAGCAGATGTATGAGCTATTTCTTTTTTAGTATGTTTCCATGTCAATTGGAATATGTGCCACCTACCCGTACTATTGGTTCATGGCAGGTTAGTCTCCCAGTCATGAGAAGGTTTGTAGCATCTGTTAGTGAAAAAGCTGTCGGTACAACCTTGATTCGTGGAGTGCGACCTGATCAGCAATTGGTCAAAGTATGTTTACTAAAGATATTTTGAATAAAATTGTTCCTGTGCCTTTTCATTTTTCTTACATTTATGACCAAATGTGAAAAGAATGACCTTTCTGGCAAAAGGGACACGCCCCATTCTCATCTCCAGTCACTAGCTCGGGTAGTCATGCATTGATGTAATCACCATGTTTATCATTACATGAGTTCTAAAAACATGTTTAATTTATCGTAGTGTGCCATTTTTCTGTTTCAACAATTTGAGGCAATATTTTTTTATTTGCATCTTTTTATGCTAGTTGACATTACTACCCCATACAAAATTATGTTTATTATGTGCTTTTCTGATGCATTCGTGCAGATTGTACACGAGGAGCTTGTGAAGTTGATGGGTGGAGAGGTTTCTGATCTGGTTTTTACAAAATCTGGCCCCTCTGTAATTTTACTAGCTGGCTTACAAGGTGTGGGAAAGACAACTGTTAGTGCAAAGTTAGCTTATTATCTTAAAAAACAGGTGCTAATTTGTGAGTTCTGTCTCCCTCTATCTATATATCTACACACACATATAATTCTCATTACACATTAACACATATGTCTAGATTGTCTGCTCATATAAAGCAAAAGGCAAAAGCACACCTTTATCCATTTTCAGAACATATTTGGATGGAGAATGTTCTAAGCTTTAGAAAGACCCTGGTGTCATGGATTGCAGGGAAAGAGTTGCATGCTAATTGCTGGAGATGTGTATAGACCTGCTGCAATTGATCAACTCACTATTTTGGGGGAACAGGTGACTATTATTCGCCGCATTGCTAATGACAAAGCGATTATTGGAGTACTTTATACTGATATTTTTGCTAATTACCAAACAAATATTGTCTAATGCTAATTTTGAATTTTTATTAATAAAAAGCCATTGTAATATGTTCACAACAAAAATGACTTTTTTCTTTATTTTAATTCATTAAACATCTGAATGAGTTTCAATATAATTTATATACTATAATTTATATTTTGCCATGCCTCAATTTAAAACCCAACGTCTAGAAATGAGCTTGAGAAATCTGATTGCTCTTTTTTGACATAACTGATTCATTATAAACTGTCATTCTCATGATAATCATGGAGCAGGTTGGTGTTCCTATTTATACAGCAGGAACTGACACCAAACCTGCAGATATAGCTCGAGAAGGTTTAGCAGAGGCAGAAAGAAAGAAAATCGATGTGGTCATAATGGATACAGCTGGAAGGCTTCAGGTTGTGTGATTGTGTGATATTATGGTATTCCCACAGTTATGTGTATAAAATGTTTTTCTTTTATTATTCTCCTATTCTCGTTGTTACCAGATAGATAAGGAGATGATGAACGAATTAAAGCAAGTGAAACAAGTACTGAACCCCACAGAAGTATTGCTTGTTGTGGATGCAATGACTGGCCAAGAAGCAGCTGGTATCTCTTTCTTATTAAACCAGACAACATTAGATCATGTTTATGAAAATGTGTTTATTAGTTCTAGGCTTTCCAATCTTCAACAGAACGGAACAGATAAATTTTTATCTTTTTAAACAAGAAATATTAACCCCTTAGTTAATTTTCCATTTTGGTTACATGAAAAGATGTTCAAGAATTATCTTAAACTCCCTCCGCTGAAAATCCTCTTTCATACACTTTTTGGTCCTAAAAAAAAATTCCAATTTGATTACACAAAGCTAATTTCTCATATACTTTGTTAAAAACTTCCAAGAGAGTCATCATAGACAAGTAACATAAATGATAAAATTAGGTAAACCATGAAATGGTTTTCAAAAAATCAATTATGATGCGTGATTTATGACAGCTGTACTCACCGAAATTAAAAGTTTTACATTGGCCAAGATTTTTTTTGGGTGGCAGTACCTGATAGTATAGTTTCTAACTGTTTCTCTTTTCCACATTTTCCCATGTACATCATATACACACCACTTTTACATTGTAATTTCTTTGCAACCTTCGGAGATATTTCTATATTGGGGGTCCCATCATATGTCTAGCATAGTTTTGTTATTATCCATATTTCAATGAGTGAAACTTTTTCTTGTGCTTTCTAGCTAAATCACAAAGGGGCTTGACCAGAGAACTCAATTGTAAAAGTATTCACTTGTTTTAATCAGGATATATGGGGTAGTGCCACAACAACTTAGCCCGTAAAATTCCACAAAATGGAGTCTGGGGTGGGTGTATGTAGATGTTATCCTTACTTAGAATGGGGGAGTGGCTGTTTCTGAACGATCCTATGTCCCAACTAAAACACAAAAGATGAAGTTGGCTTTACTTGTTTCTGAAAGAACCTATATTTCAACAAGTAAAGATGAACAAAGAAAAGAGAGGGACATAAGCAAATAAGGCAAAACCACATCCTACTTGATAGAATTTAGGATAGGGTATGGATAACTGGATTGGGTAATAAGACACTTGGGTTGAACCACATTAAAAGATTGAATCCAATCGATTAGTTAGTTCAACTCAAGAGCTTATATACCGATATATTTCCTCCTACTTTTCCGATGTAAGATGCTCTTTAACACTCCCCCTCAAGTGGACAACCGGGCCATTTTGAATCCCACAAAAGTAGGGTCTGGGCCATGGGGAGGGTGTATGTCTGCAAGCCTTACCCCTACTCGAAAGTAGAGAAGTTGTTTTCAAAGAGGCACCTGGCTCAAGCACCAAAGGTAATCATGTATGGAGCCTGACCCCTATGTTTAATACACAGAGCGGTTGTTTTTGGATGACCCATGATGAGCGTCAAAAGTTGCATTAAGAAGTGTAGACAGTTTAAAGAATCATTTTGCTTTATTCTATCATATCTCGAAGCCAAAAAATAGTGAATCTTTGGCTCCATTGGAGATGATTGGATCATCAGATTTGATCATGCAAAATCCGATCATTGTGCAATGGCTTAATAAAACGTCTAGTGGCATGCGACAATAGTGGGACATAATTCTATCTTAAAAATAAAGTGTTTCATGACTAGCTTTTATCTTTAGGATAAAAATACCGGAGTAGTTCACTTTTCTTTCATATCTGCCTGTTCATTTTATAGTCTGTCTCATGGTTGTAAAAAACCAATGGGAACCAAACAAGCACCAAGCATCTAGGGCGTCTAGTTGGTGGCTGAGCTCCCTACCTTTGAAAAATCTAATTGTATGAATACACAATACCCTCCATTCGTTTCAGTTTGACTATTTTAAGCCAAATATGATGAATTTTATTCATCAATTACTCTAAATTTGTATTGCATATTAATGCAATGAAATAAAATTTAAATGTTCTCTACTAGATAAATCTAGTAAAATCAATTTTATTCTAACATACATTGCAATTTGTATTTAATTAAAGTTCAAAATCCACACAATTTGACTTTAAAAAATCAAACTAGACGAATACATTGGGACACATGTATACTCTTGTAAGGTGTGTAGAATTTCTATAGAATACCAAAAAAGTAGATTAATTAGCATCTAGTTGGTCCAATCTTCAATGCTCAAAGAAGACCTATATTTAGTTATGTATCATTTCCGTATTAGACAATGATATTTCAATGTCTTTGTCTCACTTTAGTTAAATTTTTATTTCATTTGAACTATTAAAGATTAAAAGTCAAATTCTTTTATGGCAGGTTTGAGAACTTGAATTTGGATTTCAACTCCGTATTTGGCTCAAATTTCATTTTTGGAATTCTTAAAAATTTGAATATGGATTTGAGGCAAATTCTTCTAATACATAAATAAAGCTCAATTACAAATCCATATACTTCCTCTTGTCATTTGATATTCAAGAACTCAATTTTGGAATTGATATGAAAGAATGAAAAATGAAATGTTAGTTGCCAAACACTACCTCAATACATTTTTATCATTTCTTAATTCATACCATTTTGAAGCGAAATGTGCTGCCGACCTTCTGATCCTTTGATTATCTTTGATGTTATTGTAGCATTGGTCTCTTCTTTCAATATTGAAGTTGGAATTACTGGTGCCATTTTGACAAAGCTAGATGGGGATTCTAGAGGTGGAGCAGCTTTGTGTATAAAAGAGGTTGTCTCATTACTTAAAATACGTACGTTGCTAAATGTTTTATTCTTCGGTATGTAACCACTAACCATAGGCATGTTCTTTGAGTTGGATGTTGATTTTGTAGTATGAATCATGAAATGCACATGTAGGCTGAAAGTTTCTCAAACTCCTCTACTCTTATGCTGTTTTTCATGCATGTGGAAACAATTAGCATTTCATACTTCATCCCTTTTTTAACGCTGTGATTGGAAGGAAAGCCAATGTAATAATTTTTCACTAAGCTTTTTTGGGTTGAGGTGGTTTGGGCATGCGAAGAGGCAGAGTGTTGGGGCCCCGGTGCAGAGATGTGTGCTGTTTACGGTGGTGGGCAGGAGTAGGAGAAGGGGTAGATCTAAGAAGAATCGGAAGGAGGTGATTAGTTAGGTCCTAAGACCCTAAAGGAGCGAAGACTAGAGTAGTTGGGTGGGCTTCTGGGCTTGGTGGTTGTTTTTGCACTTGTCGTTCTGTGCTTAGGTGCTACCTGCTTGTTTTTTTCCTTCGTTCACCTTAGTTTGCTCTTTGCTATTCTTTTTCCATTTTCTGTTGTTGGTGCTCAACTTGTATGTGTTACTTGAGTTGGGGTCTCTTGGAAACAGCCTCTACTTTCGAGTAGGGGTATGGTCTCCGTACACACACCCTCTCTAGACCCTACTCTTGTGGGATTCAACTGGGTTGTGATTTATACTATTAATTTAATGCAACTGAACCCAATTAGTTGGGATTAAGATGGTGATAAAGATGACAAGTGTCCGGCTGTCCACTAACCATAGCATACAGAAAAGGTATGTTTAGTTGCTTTATACTAAGTAAATACAGCGTGACAGGTTTCAGGGAAACCGATCAAACTTGTGGGAAGGGGTGAGCGCATAGAAGACCTCGAACCTTTCTATCCCAACAGAATGGCTGGACGAATCTTAGGGATGGGAGATGTTCTATCATTTGTGGAGAAGGCCCAAGAAGTTGTAAGTCTTCCTCTTATCATTATTTATTCATTTATTTTATTTTGTACTCCGGTATTTTATATTTTTTAATCTATCCATACAGATGCAGAAGGAAGAAGCTGAGGAGTTGCAGAAAAAGATTATGAATTCTAAATTTGACTTCAATGACTTCCTGAAGCACACCCGTGCAATTGCTCAGATGGGTTCCATGGCTCGGGTAATAGGAATGGTTCCCGGCATGTCTAAGGTTAGAGATCTGGCCTAGCTTTTAATGCTTTGTGCATCTGACAATTGTTGAACCAACACCGATTACTACAAGTGGATGTGAGTTTAATCCTTCTAGTAACTTATTCTCACAGATAACTCCTGCCCAGATTCGAGAGGCAGAAAAGAGATTTAAGATAATGGAATCAGTGATAGAAGCAATGACCCCTGGTTTGTTTATGTTTCTCAACTTTATGAAACCTCTGTTCATATTATTCTAGAAAGTCACTCTGTTATATGATCAATCTACGGGATAAATTTTCGTATTTTAATCTTTCTGCAAAAGTTTAATGAGTTTTGTACATGGTTGATAGCATATCTAAAATTCTATGTTATGTGCCACAGAGGAGAGGGAGAACCCAGAGTTAGTGGCCAGCTCTGCGGTGAAGAGAAAACGAATTGCTCGAGACTGTAGAAAGACTGAGCAGCAGGTTGGTTATTTGTTGGCAGTCGTGTGTTGGGTTCTATCCCACACTGACAAAATCAATTAAATATTACTCCCATATAAAGAAAGGTGAATCACTACCCATTGGCTTAAGCTTTTGGTTAGAAAGTGGATCCGGACTTTATATGAAAAAGTGGTCAATTCCATCATTGTATCAGAGCCAAGTTCGGTTCGGGTTCGATTTATCCTGATATAAAGAGAATGACTGAATGAGATGCTCTAGGCCCATTCACCCAAGTGGTAACTTACCAGGCACCACTTGAGGGCGGGGGGGGGGGGGG